TACTTACTTACTTACTTACTTACTTACTTACTTACTTACTTACTTACTTACTTACTTACTTCTTACTTACTTACTTACACTATGCGGTATCTAGTTTCATTCTGAGTTTCATGAAAATCCATCCCAGGACAAACTATGTTTTTGGTTCTTATCAGCTGTTTTCTTCTAATGTGAGCAGAAGCTGTGCAGCTAGATAAATGAATCAGGACTTTACAGTCCTGGAACACCTTCACTGTTCACCACCATGCCTGTATACCTCTACCCTGCACTGTTTAATATGCATAAGTGTTTCATTCACACTAAAGGCAGCAGGCTGAATGCTCTCACATTTTCTTATAACGGCTAAAAAAACCCTGCAACATTTGGTGACCTTGCTGCCTCAGTTTAGTCTTTTTGCACCTCAGACAGACTGAGCAGACGGAGAAACGATAAAGCGAGCAGGCGTGAGGATGAGTCACACTTTCAGGAAGGCTGAAACGTTGAGTCACAAAATGWATGTGTTCAAAAACACTCAAAGCAGAAAAAAAGAAACGCAGATGGCTCCTCTCAGCACATGCAGATGTCGAGCCTCTGCAGCCTTTATTTCAGAGAACTATCATGACACGCCAGTGAGCTTGATCTGAATGACCTGCTAACTCATCTGGGTTTGTGCTTTCATCCTTAGTTTCATCAAAACATTGAGGTCAGTGGTGACTCCTCCTGTTTGTAACGATTCAATGGCTACTGTTCCGTTTCCTCTACTGGACGAATATTGTCTGTCACAGAGATTCTTAACATATGGGCCGCAAGCACCACCTTGAGGGCCTCAAAAGAACAACAGTTTTTAATTTTGGTCCACCGAACAGCATTGATTTTGAATAAGGTGTAATACACTTTCTCACCACTAGTAGCAGTAGTGCACCACTCAGATGTGTAACAACTTTTTAATATGTAGAAGAAGAACCTTAGAAACCTGCTGAGAATGGAAACTTATTTTAAATGAAAAGTAGAAACAAAAATGAAAGTAACTCATCAAAAAACACCAAAGTTTGTCACTAATATGAAGACCAGCTTCTGTTTTTACCATGTAATATTTTAAAAGTTCAAAACATTATCAAATACAGTTGTAGATACAACTATATTTGAATTTGCACTTTATCAAATTCATTTTTGTAGTTTATTTTTAAGATTTTGTCAAAAAGGTGTTGCTGTTATTGTTTGTCAATAATATGAAGTACAGCTTCTGGTTCTACCATGCAAACGTTTAAAAAGGCTTTATTTTCATTTGACCTTTATCAAATTTATTTTTGGAACATTTACATTAAATATTTTTGAATGTATTTATTTTATGATTACAATTTTATTTAATGACTTGTCTATTTTTGTTGTTGATTATGTTTAAAAAATGTTATTTTTGTCTGTGATGGACCTGAGACCTGTCCAGGGTGTACCCCACCCCTCGTACTGTGACTGCTGGATATGGACACCAGTGACCCTGAAATGAAGAAGTGTGTACAGAAAATGGATGGATGGATGGATGGATGGGTTATTTTGTGTTGATAAACCTGAGTGGTCTGTTGACTGACCTTTGTATTTGTTCAAATAATTGTTATGGGCAGGTTACAATGTAAAAATGTTTGTTATAATCACGTCTTGTGGTTATTTGACAGGAGTTTTACATTAGTTATGATAGTTTAGTTATGATG